ACGCGCGGCTTGCTCCTCGACTACCTCAACGGCAAATACGATGCGGCCGCCGAGCTCGCGCAGCGCGAGGCGCGCCTGGCTGACGCCGGCGCTGCGCATGCACAACCGTCGGCTCCCGCAGCGCCGACATGGAACACGGAGCAGAAGCACTTCAAGGCGAAGGTGGACGGTCTCGTGGATGTCACTCTTCGCCTGCAGTGCGCTGTCTCCGAGACTGCTGCCGACGACCTACGCGAGCGCCTCTGGCACGAAAACAAGATCTGCGTCTGCACTGGCCCGCCAGGAAGCGGCAAGAGCACGGTCGCCCATGCTTGCGTGGCGCGAACTCTGGAGCTCGAGGGGCGCGTGCTCTTTGCCCTCCCCAAGGCCCAACTGGCAAGCAGGATGCGGGAACGCTACGGCGACAGCGTGGATATCGATACCTGCCACGCAGCCTTTGCCTTCCACGAAGCCGTTAACAACCTACCGACGCTTGCGCACTACGCCCTCGTGGTTGTGGACGAGATCTCCCAGTTGGATGCTTGGCAATACGAGCGAATCGTGCAGCTCTGGAATGCGGCAGATCGCNNAAATGGCAAATGCCAGGTTTCGGGGACTTGCGACCCTGGCATTCCGGGTTCTGGACGCCCTGTACTTTTCGGGTTACCCTGCATGAAGCTTTTCGCTGCAAGGACCCGGCCTTCTGGAAGCTTCTCTCACAGCTTCGAACCGCCCGCCCGGACAAGAAGACTTTGAAGATCCTGGCTTCCAAGAAGCCCTGGTCGAACAATGGTGCTCCGACGCCAAAAGCTGTTTGCAAGCTCCTGAAATCCCGACCTGACACTACCATCCTGACGGTGTCCAGGCGCGGTGCCGAAGAAGTCAATGCCGCTGCCCTGCAAGGCCTCTTCCCACGTTATCCGCCAAAGGCCTGCATCGATGCCGACGTCGAGAGCAACCCCGACAACTACGTGGGCGGCAAGCGCAAAGCCTTGGAGGCCCTCGTCCCTACTAAGCTCGAAGTGCACATCGGCATGCAAATTTACTTTACCCGCAACGTGCGCAAGGATATAGACTTCGTGAACGGCATGCGAGGCCGCGTGCTCGGCTGGGACGGTGCGGCCAAGGCCCTGCGGGTAGAAACTGCGACGGGGCACCGCTGCGCTGTTTGGCCGTGGACGGATACCGAGCTGGGGAACATGGTCTACTACCCGGTCCGCGCCGGGTATGCTTCCACCGTTGGCCGCTTTCAAGGTGCGGAGTTGCCACACGTGACCCTCTACTTGGACGCCCCGGGCGTCCCGGCCGCTGCCTACACCGGTCTCTCCAGAGTCTCGACCGGCAATGATTTCCTCTTGGCCTGTAAAGGACCTCTCACCGAAGATCACTGTGTACCAGCACGCGCGTGAAGCAGAGATCCTGACGGCATTCCCAAGGAGTCTCGCACAACACTTGCACTTGTTGCTGTCTCTTGCTCCTTGCTGGAGACACAAGTTCGATGAATAGCATCGCACAGAGTGCGGATTCTGACTGAAGCTTGAAAAAAGGGTCTGCAGCTGCCAAGTCATGCGGTGCGACCACATGTAACTCGTCGTCAGAAT